GTTGCCTCCCTTGTACGTTCATTTAGCGACTGCCTTTTCCCTTCCCTCTTGGGAGGTTCCGATGCTTCGTGTTTGTTTTCCCCTACTGCTGTGCTCCAAAGCTCTCTTACATACGGCTGCTTCTCACTCTCTCCTCCTTGATCCCTTCCGATCACATGCTCATGCCGTTGCTGTTTATACAGATGGTTCTAAATCTTTTGACGGTGTTGGGTACGCGTTGGTGTTCCCTGATGATGTCATCCGAGGTCATTTCTTAAACTTGGCTAGTAATTTTTACTGCCGAGTTACAGTAGGGCCCCGCTTTACGGCGTTTTGCTTTATGGTGTTCCGCTAATACGGTCATTTCAAATTATGACCAAAACTTGCTATATGGCTCCCCCCACCTGACTTTCTAATACGGTCACCGAACCCCACCCAGTTTGTTTACATTCTCCGTGAGATCTGAAAGCACTAAGTCTCTCCATTATGTCTGGACACTCCAAAATTTCAAGTGTTTTTAAAAGTTATTTCATATTTTATATATACTCTGATAATTATACTTGTGTATACCTGTACCTAAATAAACTTACATACTGTGCTGGCGTGCAGGTACACATTAAAATCAGTGTCTTATGTCTCGAGATGTCATATTAGTAATGATAATAATAATCACCGAGTCTCGTTTACATGTCGTATATTACATTAATGTACACATTTTCATTAATCCATCTATGATATTTTTTCAGAATTATATAATAAACACGATGCATAACATATAAATATGATAAATACACCCCACAGTAGAATAAATAAGCATAAATATGAGATGTGGTAGCAGACGACTTGCACAAGTGACGCCATACTAGAAATGCTAATAATAATAATCACCGAGTCTCATTAAATATAATAATGAGAGTATATATAAAATATGAAATAACTTTTAAAAACACTTGAAATTTTGGAGTTTCCAGACATAATGGAGAGACTTAGTGCTTACAGATATCACAGAGAATGTAAACAAACCGGGTGGAGTGCGGTGACCGTATTAGAAAGTCAGGTGGGGGGGAGCCGTATAGCGAGTTTTGGTCATAATTTGAAATGACCGTATTAGCGGAACGCCGTAAAGCGGGGCCCTACTGTATGCATTTTATCGCTCTGGGATGCTTAAATATCATAGAATATTATGTGTAGGTGGGGTGGCCTGGTATGGTAGCTCGGCTGACTACCATATATACCACACTTGATTTCTTACAATAAATATTACTCATCTCACCCTAGATTAAGACTACAAATATTTTAAGGTAGGTAATGAGTAAACTGTATATGCTGTTTATTGCTCTGGGATGCTTAAATGTAATAGAATATTATGTGTAGGTGGGGTGGCCTGGTATAGTAGCCCGGCCGACTACCATACATACCACACTTGATTTCTTCCAATAAATACTACTTGTCTCACCCTAGATTAAGACTATAAATATTTTAAGGTAAGTAATGAGTGCACTATGTGTGTACAGTGGACCCCCGGTTAACGATTTTAATCCGTGCAAGAGGGCTCATCGTTATGCGAATAATCGTTATGCGAATCATTTCCCATAAGAAATAATGGAAATAAAATTAATCCGTGCAAGACGCCCAAAAGTATGAAAAAAAATTTTTTTTACCACATGAAATGTTAATTTTAATACACACAAACTGAAAAAGGCATGCATAATTAAATGACACTTACTTTTATTGAAGTCTGGTGATGATATGGATGGGAGAGGGAGAGAGGGGTTAGTGTTTAGAGGGAATCCCCCTTTCCCTTAGGACTTGAGGTAGTAAGTCCTTTTCTGGGGTTTCTTCCCTTTTTCTTTAATTTCCATTAGGGCCAGCTTCAGAGTCACTGGACTTCTTATCGCACAGATATCTGTCCATAGTGGCCTGTACCTCTCGTTTCACTTTTTATGACTTGCCTAAAGTGTTTCACAACATTGTCATGGGATAATCACCAAGCACGGATTGCAATGCTGTGTGAGGGTATTTCATCTGAAGGTTTGCACTTCAAGCCACTTGCACAGATTTCCTTTTTCTTGTAGTAGGCAACTTCTTATTCTCTCTCCCCCCCATGAACAGTTCCTCGTGGGCTGGCCTATTGCCTTTGAAGTTGATCTATCAGGGTCATCAGTGGTTAGTTCTTCCTTCTTGGTTCCTCCCAACTCCTTCCACATCCTCCCCACTACCTCCAACCCCAAGGCTTCCAATGCCACAATGGATTCCTCAACTGCACAGTTCTCAGGGTTAGCCTCAAACCCTTCAAATCCCTTTTGTCTACACTTCTGGCCAAGTTTTTTCCAAGCAGAGTTCAAGGTCCTCTTTGTCACTCCCCCAAGCCTTACCTATAAGGTTTACACAATTGAGATATTAAAGTGATCTCTCCAACTCTCTTTGAGTCATTGAGTTTCTGATCCCTTACAAACACCTTTCAAACAGGCTTTTGTGTACAGTTTCTTGAGTTGGAATAACCTGCTGGTCCATGGGCTGCAGAGAGGAGTGGTATTAGGAGGGAAAAACTTCACCTTTAAAGAAGCTCTGTCCCCATAAAGTCGCTCTGACACGTCTGTAGGATGACCAGGGGCATTGTCTAACACCAGGAGGCACTTTTGTTCTAATTTCTTTTCGTTAGGTAATTTTCACATTGGGGGCAAATGCTGGTGTAACCAGTTATAGAAAAATTCCCCAGTGACCCCTGCCTACTGTTTGCCCTCCACAGCACACACAAATTATCCTTTAGGACATTCTTTTGCCTGAACGCTCTGGGAGTTTCAGAGTGATACACTAATAAAGGCTTCATTTGCAATCACCAGTAGCATTGGCCCCACTCAACAAAGTAAGCCTGTCTTTCCATAGCTTATGTCCTGGGAGTGCCTTTTCCCTGAGTATTAGGTCCTGCTTGGCATTTTTCTTCCAGAACAGGCCTGTTTCATCACAATTAAACACTTGTTCAGGTTTCAGTCCTTCAGTTTCTATGTATCCTTGAATTCCTGCACATATTTTTCAGCCGCTTTGTGGTCGAACATGGCAGCCTCACCATGCCTTATCACACTATGGATGCCACTACGCTTCTTAAATCTCTCAAACCAACCTTTGTGGCCTTAAATTCACTCACATCATCACTAGTTGCAGGCATTTTTTTAATTAAATCGTCATGCAACTTCCTAGCCTTTTCACATAAAGATCGCTTGAGAGACGCTATCTCCTGCTATGTTTTTCATTTATCCACACCAATAAGAGTCTTCCAACATCTTCCATCAATTGCGATCTTTGTTTCGAAAACACAGTTGAACCCTTTGGCAAGAACAGCTTCCTTGATTGTCTTTCTGGTGCCCACAAATAGTAGCGATGGTTGATTGGGGTTTTCTTGTACAGCTTGACTAGGTCGGCTATACGCACTCCACTTTCATACTTATCAATTATCTCTTTCTTCATCTCTATAGTAATTCTTACCTTTGAGGTGTAGGGTTGGCACTAGAAGCTTTCTTGGGGCCCAAAGGTCACTTTTTTCCAGAAACAGCAAACCCAAATACTGTAATAATACGAAATATTCCGAGTGTATGCTTGGATGTTACCGCGGAGGCTGGCTGGTAAACAATGGGACGGAGCGGCACATGTGAGGCTGGCTGAGGGCACATTGGACGCGTCTCGGACGAAAATCGGTATGCGGGTTTTTAATCGGTATGCGGGGCAAAAATTTTGCGATAAAAGTAATCGTTATGCGGAAAAATCGCTATGCGATGCCATCGTTATGCGGGGGTCCACTGTATTGTACTTTTTTTTATTGTTTTTTGTTGCCTAGTTCTATTGCTAACTTAATATATGTAGTGTAAACTTGTTATCTAGTACTGTATTTGTATGCATTTATAAGGGGAAAAAAAGGGTGTTCCACTTCATGGCGATTTCCGCTTTATGGCGGTAGCCTGGAACCTAACCTGCCGTATAAGTGGGGCCCTACTGTATATACCATCCTCATAGCACTTGTCTGTATCACATATATGTGTCCTTCGATGTTTGTGATCATTTCAGATTACCTCAGCACTTTACAGGCCATTAAACAATTTGATTCCCCACATCCATTGGTCCTTCATATTTAACTATGGTTGCGCTGTGTGGCTAGCAAAAACAAAGATGTTTTCTGTTGGGTCCATGGACACGATGAGCAGGGCAATGAACAGGCGATTGCTGCTGTATGGTCAGCGGTATGTGATCTTTTGATTCCCTTGCCTTCTCTTGTCTTGGCCATATTCGTCTTACCCATGGGTATCTCGTGGAATGACACCCTATTCCTCTCTGTGAGATCTATCGGGTCCCTATTTCAATTCTTCACTTTCTTGTGGATTGTCCAGTTTACCAGTGAGCTTGCAGGATTTACCTCCACCAACGCTGCCATCCTACCGCTCTTACCTTATCCTCCCTTCTTGCAGGCGGCCCTGCCTTTGACTTACGATCACATTTTTATTTTTTTTTTTTCAGCAGCTGCTTTGCTATACGAACTTTGACACACAGCCCTTAGCGTCCCTTCCAACCCTTTTCTCCCCTTACTTCTGATCCCCTCTCCACCTAGCTGTTTATAGCCCTGGCACTATTTTCTGCCCCGCAGTGCTGCTTCACCCTTGTCGGTTTAGCGCTTTATTTGATTATAATAATAATAATTGGAGAATTGCCTTGTTTCCTAGACTGTGTAGCATTTGCACATACAGTATTCCAGTCTTTAAATTAGTCATTATCCAAATCTACAGAATGGAATCTCTAGTGGCTGGTCAAGATGCCTGATTCTTAAGTACAATACTGTACTATTTTCATTTGAATTTCTTCCAGTTATGATTTCTGCATATTTGCATTTTTTCCTACAGTATTTAAAAATACGATTATATCAGTACCATGTTGCGATAAACCAGTTCTATTCTTAAAAAAGTCTAAATTATTATGCAATACAGTTATAAGTGATTCAGATTATGTATTTTTGTATTAAATTTTTTTTTTTATAGAACTCGAGATGATGGAAAATACGTGTGTAGATGACAAGAGTGAAGACCGCTACTACTGTTGCTTCATCAATTCTGCCACAGATAAACGCTTTCCATAACAGAATATAATTTATGTTGGAAAAAAATATATGAGTACCTTTGAGTTTTTGTCTTACTACCCTCTGATGCTTGCCTGGTCAACCAGGCTGTTGCTGCTGGAGGTCTACTACCCTGCATATCCATCACAGCTTGGTTGAGTGGTATATTATACTATTTTTATGTACTGTATTGAAAATGAAAATGTTTATTTCCTTGCAAAGCTTACACTGTGTGCTTTACATATTATAAACTATTAATTACAAAGGTCACTAGCATGCCTAAGCATTTTGGGTAGACTAATCCTAAAATTCTTACTTTATATTGACAGGTTATAGAGCAGTACATTCTAATATACCTTATTGCATACCGATATAAAAGTTAAGTAACTGAAGTGATTAATTAGATTTATGACTCACGAAATCGTAATTCAAATTCAAATTCAAACTTTATTCTCTATAAGTATTACAATGCTGAGTTTAGAGAATTTGGTTATTGTGTGGTTTACATGTAGTAAAATAATAATTACAGAGTGTACCACTAGAATGCCTAGCATGGCTAGGCATTTCGGGCAGACTTATATTAAATCTTAGGTTTAAAATGTTACAGAATTATGAGATAAGTTGGTATTATGGCTAAGTGACTAAATACTAGTTGTAAGTTTAGCAATGTGAATGCTTTTGTTTTGGCACTATACATAGTTTCAGTATTGGAGTATCACAGGCCAACTTTTGACTAGTTAAGAAATTCCCTTTTTTTGAGATTGAATTGAAATTTTCCCGTTTTGGTCAAATTTGGGGAGTGGGGGGTAAGTTTTGAACCACCGGGGGTGTTCGTATTATTAGTTGACAGGGGGTATCAGGGAGATAAGATGTTTTCTGATGGTTTGTTTTGAAGTGATGAAAAGTTTCTCAGTTTTTGGGAATTTTTTAGGTAGGTGTTCCAGGGTTTTAGGGGCCCTTTGGGCATACATTGAAATTTTTGTAAAGGTTTAAAATCGGACACGGGAATTTTCCCAAAAGATTTTGTCTGGTGTTTGTGCCTGTGGGTTTTTGTCCCCAACTATCAAGAAACAATTTTTGGGCAAGGTTTAAAATTGGAATTTTAAAGGGCCCCGTAGATGTAGAATTTCCAGTAATAAGTGTTGGGTGTACTGAAAAAGGGAGTAAGTTTAGAAACTATGAAGAGTGGGGGGGTTTTGTGCCAGGGATGGGGTTTTGTGATTAATTTTTATGCGGGGTTTTTGTTTTGGGGGGTTATTGGTTAGGTTTTTGCGAGTTGAACCCCAGCACAAAATAGCATGGGGAGGTAAGGATATTAAGTGAATGGATAAATGTGAAAGGGCAAATTTTCAGCACGTATATCGTAACTTGGAGAGGATCCAAAACCTTTTTTGGGTACTTTTTTGGTTTTTTGTTGGAAAAATGGGTGCTGAAGTTTAGGGTTTTTTGTCGAGGTATACCAAGGGGAAATTTTCCCTCATTATGCCGGTAAAATTGAGGTTGTCGATCTTTAAAGTTAAATTTTTTCATCTCCTGCTTTTGCAAACCCAAAAATAATGTAGTAGTTTTGTCAACGTTTTAAACGTAATTTTTTTGGGTCATCCAAATGATATTTGATCAGCTCCTCATTTAAAAATGTGTTGAGGGTTGCAAGATTGGGTGAGAGTGACATAAGTCGGTTTGTCAAACAAAGAAATGGGGTTCCCCCTGTCGAGATACTTTGGAAAAATCAATTTTAGATATGAGGAAAGCAGGGGCCAAGGACACTTTCCGCGGGAAAAACCCCGTATCAAGTGGCTGAGTTGTTGATGCTGTGGGCTTTAATGGTGGGCATACTGATACCCCATTAGTTTAAAGGGAAGATTTGAAAATGCAACGCATGGCCTCTTTTACCATAAGGGCAAGTTTGTGGAGTAAAGGGGCCGGGTCTTTTCTGTGTCAAAAGTTTTCTTAGGTTTAATAAAAATTCTAGTGGAAATTCCTTATTTTCCAAAGCTGTGTAAAACAAAGGGCCCAAACCCTTTTTTTTAATTGCATCGGGGTTTTTGCTTTTAAATTTTTTCCCGTCCAAAAAAGGCAAGGGGGTTGGGGGTATGTTTTTTTTGACTTTTTAAAAAAGAATAAGTCTCCTGTGCCCGAGTTTCAAAGATTTTGGGTAGCAATGGTAATTTTTATATTGGCCTATAGTTTTTAAAAACGTGGTCACCCCCCTTATTTTAATTGGGAACCCTTGCCCCTCTTTAGTAGTTTCGGGAAGGGCTACTTCAGTGCTTGTTAAAAAGAATGAGATAGTATCGAAGGACTAGGCCACTCTCTTGTACAAAAAAGGTGGGACATGAGACAGATTCCCGGAAATTTTTTTAAGTGACTTTTTAATCCCCGGGGACTTCCGTGGGCCAGTTGGAGCAAAAATAAAGGAATTTTGGGGAAAATTTCCCCTCTTGGTTTAATCCCCGGCAAAGGACCCTTTGGGACGGGGTTTTTATAGGCGAGATTTAGAACCTATGGTTGAGAAAACGTTTATCTTTTTAGCTGTGTTTGGTTTGGGGGGCAGTGGTGTTTTATTAGGTTTTGTTAGGGCAATATTCTTGTTTTTTTTTTTATTTTTTTTGGGGCCCCCAGAATCTGAGGGGTGTTTTTTCCGGTCTTTTTAAATCTTTCCCCTTGTTCATGAATCTAAATGGAGTAAAAGTTTTGTTTTCTTTTTTTATTAACTTTGGTGAGGGGCTGGGTAAAAATGTTTAAAATATCTTGTGTATTAAGCCCTGTCCATATTGCTTTTCATATTTGGTTTTTTCTTATCATTGGATTTTCAGAATAGTGGTGTTTGCCATGGGCAACCAAACCGTTTGTTTTTGACTTTTTCGTTTTTTAGGGCAATGTTTTTTATAATCTAAAGTTTGTTTTAAAAAAAATGTCTGGGCCGGCGCCCAAAACCATTGGCCTTGGAGAATTCGGTTTGGCCAGTCAACAGTCTCCAAAGGGCAGCTGTGAACTTCCTTTTTTAGGCCCCAACAGGAGTCTAAAAGAACTTTGGGGTATTCAAATTTTGGGTTTTTCAAAGTTTGTCAAGAGGGAAGGGAGGGAAATGGTCTGAGTGCTATCTTTTTGATTTTCCCCCCTTTAAGGGGGGCTATATATTGGTCCATATGTGGTCTAAATTTTTGGTTGCCCTTTTTTTCAGTGACCGGGTTTGGTTTTTTGTTATTGGGGGGTAGAGAAAATTGGTTTATAAATTTTTGGAAAACATTTTTCAGGGTATCATCAGTAGGGCCCAAAGGGTTTTGTTTTAAGGGCTCCCCCCCAAAGAAAAGGGGGTGCTTATTCATTTGTCGTTTTTATTAGTGCCTTTTAATTTTTCACTGAAGTTGGGATGTTTTTTGTGGGGGTATTTCCTAAAAGGCACCAAATTTTTTATAGGCGTCCCTTAAAGGGTTTTTTTCATAAAATTAAACAAAAATGTAATTCCCCCATATTCATCACTAAAGCAATTGTGCGATACAAGATAATTTGGGTTTGAAATAATAGATTGCAATAACCACCCCCCAAATTGGATTGGGCTGCAGTTTTTGGATTGCTGTTATCCTGAGGGGGTTTGATAATTTATTGTGTCCTGTTTTAGCCAGGTCTCGGTAAGAAAATTTTCAGGAGAAGGGGGTCCTTTTTGGGTTCCAAAGGGGTGCCAAAGGGGGTCATCATAAATGTTTTCTTAAGGGCCTGATGTTGTCGTTAAGTACTGATAGACTTTTTTCATTGTTTAGGGTAGTGCGGGGTTGTGAACTGTGTAGTAAAGGGATTTTCTTTCCAATGGGTTTTTATTGTGTGTCAGATTATTTGGGGTTTTGAACAGGGGCCAAAGGGGAAACAATATCTTCTAAGGGTTTTAAAATTTTGGTTATTTATATCCTGATTTTTGTGTTTTAGTTTTTGTACTGATATCGTAAAAAGGGGGGGAAGGTTTTTTGGACAAGTATAATAGCAAAAGCATTTTGGGGCATGTGAGTTAGTCCTAAAACACAAAATAAGTTTGTTTTTCAAAGGTTTGGGTTGGGGGAAAGACTAAAGTACAACCGGGTTAAAATAATAATATAAAAAAACAAATTAAAAATAGCACAAAAACTCTCCCCTTGTAATTGCCCATGGTCCCCAATGTAGTGACGGGTATATCTTTTTTATTTTACCCAGAGGACAATATACAAAATAGGTTTTTTAAACTAAAAATGGAGAAATACAAATTAAAAATAGCACCAGCTTTCAAAAAGTAAAATTTCACTAAGGCTAATATAATTACTTTTGTACCCGACTTTATTGAGCAGAAAAAGCTAAAGTACAACTGAGTTTTAAACCCAATGAAAAAAAAAGGGACAAGATGCTCAGTTTTAAAATTTCCTAAGGGGTTTTAGAAGTTTGGGTTTTCAAGAATTAGAGTATAACTAGATTTAAATTGACAAGATAAAATATACAAGTTAAGGTAGCAAAAGAATAAAAAAAAAAGTAGAAAAAAAAAATACATGAGGTAGTTGGTACTAGTTAGCAAAAGATAGTTAAGGGCCTTGAACAATAATATAATTGAAATATACACTAATTGCACACACAGTATAGTCACTAAGATATGAAAACAATCTTAGAGTAGGAATTATAATATAAACTTATAATATAAAAATACAAATTGAAATGGTACTTGCAATTGCACTAGAGTCTGGTATAGGTTGTTGACAAGATCAAGAGTAATGACACGATTGCAAACAAACCATACCCCGGCCGAGATTGAACCTGGAGTTTTGAGACTCTCTGACCGCGGGTTCAATCCCGGCCGGGGTATGGTTAATTAGATTTATGAGAGTGAGGTAGTACAAAACATGTAACAATATTACAATTAGTAAATTTAGTAATGGGAATGGTTTTGTCTTGGCATTATGCACCGTTTCTATTAACCCGTAAACGGTCCAAACGTAGACAGTAGAGCCCCGCTTTACGGCATTCTGCTAATATGGTCATCTCAGATTTTGACCAAAACTCGCTATACGGCTCCCCCCGCCTGACTTTCTAATATGGTCACCACGCC